CTAAGCACAAAAGGGAAACAGAATTTATTTTATGTACAGTGAAAGTAATACAGTAGAAGAAATTTGATGTGATGTTTTTGTGTTAATATTTTACATGGATCATGGTGGAAAAGCACCACACTGCTTCTGCTGTGTGAAGCATCTTTTTTATGAAAGAGCATAATACATCAGAAAGAAATATTTTTATCAGCTGCATGGCTGATTTCTTTCTATTCAAATGAAAGCTTTCATTTGTATTACTCTTCCCCCAAATATACCACTCTCGTGGCTCACATCTCTGTACACAGTGCATTAATTCTGTAGACATTAGACTCTTTCATAAACCAGTACTCTCCCTGTTGTGCCCAGCCACATGAATTTGCCAGCTCTCTGGCTTCTTTGCTCTGACATCATTCTGCTTCTGTTATTTCCCCTCTGCTTCTCTGGCCTTTACACTTTCTTCTTTTCCTGAAGAGAAAGGTTGGTCAATGCTGCAGGTAATTTCAGATTCACTTTTTGAAACCTCAGATCCTATATTCCCAAACTGGTATAACAATTACTTCAAGTCAGCAGTATACGGCAGAATGTGTAGCTTGCTGTATACTTTTTTCAGTGCCTATAGTCAGACAAATTTCCAGTGCTTGCTGTGTGCCCTTGTCAATAACTGCAGGCTGGCAGAGTCAGAATGTATGTGCTGGTTTTGGCTGGAGTAGTTAATTTTCTTCACAGTGGCAAGTGTGGGGCTATGTTTTGGATTTGTGCTGAACACAGGGTTGATAATATAGAAATGATTTTGTTATTGCTGAGCAGTGCTTATACAGAGCCAAGACCTTTTCTGATTTTCGTACTGCCATGCTGGCAGGGAGACTGGGGGTGCATAGGAGACTGGGAGGAAACACAGCGGGGACAAGTAACCCAAACTGATCAAAGGGATGTTCCAGACCGTATGATGTCATTCTCAGTCTATAAAGTAGGGAGGAAAGAAGGAAGGAGGGGGAACATTTTTAGTGATGGCATTCATCTTCCCAAGTCACCGTTGTGTGTAATGGGGACCTGCTCTCATGAAGATGGCTGAACACCTGTCTACCTGAGCAAGTTTGGAGCTGGCTTCTGCCAAGTCTCCAAAACTCAGTGAAAGAGCCAGAGAGGGAAGAAAAAAAACCCAAACAGCCAAAGCTATAGCAAAAATATATATTTTACATATAAAACAGATATATAAAGTGAGAATGTTATGTACATATAACCTCAGAAAGCCCAAACAGCTCCCTAAAAGGGAAGAGGGGAAGGGAGAAGGGAAAAAAGGACAAAAAAAAGAACAAAAAGGGACAAAACCAAAACAGATATGCACAATTGAAAAACCTGGTAACCAGCAAAATAAAGAACTAGCAAAATCCCACCACTTCCTTTGAGAAAAGCAGGACAGCCAGACTGCGGCCCAGCACTCTCCTCTCCTTTGTGGCAGACACAGCAGTCACTACAGGCCTCAACTTCAGATAAGCAAGACCGACATAGGAACCTACTGTTCTCGAACCTCGCCGGAAAAGAAGAGAGCGAGGTCTCTCCGATCAGCTTTATTTATACCTCAGTTTATGTAAAGGAATAGCATGGAATACGTCCTTAGTCACTTCCCTAGTTCCTTCCTGGTTACAAGCTGGTCTCCAGGAAGGCCTAGGCTAAAACTATCACACTGCCCTTGGGAAGCAGTGAATTAATTCCTTGCTTTGTGTGAGCAGCTTTTGCTTTCCCTATTAAACTGTCTTTATCTCAACCCACAACTTTTCTGTCTACTCTTCCAATTCTCTCCCTGATTCTACTGGTGGGAAGGTGATCAAGCAGCTGCATGGGGCTTGGTTGCTGGCTGGGGTAAACTACGACAACACAATATGTTATTACATTGTTTAATTATGTGCCTAACAGAAGGCCGTTCCAGTAGCTTGAGCAAATATTTGGTTTAAAAAAGGATATGTTTTTAATAAGCTTTTATTGGAAACACTTTCTGATTCAGTCTTCCCCTGTTAGGTATCAAAATTCAGCATACAGTGATTTGACACTCATTCATGTACACATAAATATTGAGTGTGGTACCTAAAACAAGTGGATAAATCTTCCTGTTGAGGCCTCTAACTTATCCAGCCCTGTTTACTGCCAAATCCATATGGGAAAATTAGATGCTTAATTTGGGAGTACGTGTTCATTGCACGTCTGAAATTAAGGTGCAAACTAGAAACCTAAGTTAAGCACAGTAGATCCCCTAGTGGAATTCACAATCGAAGACTACTCCAATTAATGTTCCCGAGTTATGTCAATGCTTTTTGTTTTTACGGATCTCATAAAGATTAAATTATTCAGCTGGCTGAACGTGAGCCAGCAGTGTGCCCAGGTGGTCAAGAAAGCCAATGGCATCCTGGACCGTATCAGAAATACTGTGGCCAGCAAGAACAGGGCTGTGATTGACCCCCCGTCCTCAGCACTGGTGAGGCCACACCTCGAATCCTGTGCTCAGTTTGGGCCCCTCGATAAAGGAAAGACATTGAGGTGCTGGAGTGTGTCCGGAGAAGGACAACAGAGCTGGTGAAGTGTCTAGAGAGTAAGTTCTGTGAGAAACAGCTGAGGCAGCTGGAGTTCTTTAGCCTGGGGAAAAGGAGGCTCAGAGGAAACCTCGTTGCTTTTTACAAGTACCTGAAAGGAGGCTGTAGCGAGCTGGGGATCGGCCTCTTCTCCCAAGCAACTAGTGACAGGACAAGAGGACACAGCCTTAAGCTGTGCCAAGGGAGGTTCAGGTTGACATCAGGAAGAATATTTTCACTGAAAGGGTGGTTAAATACTGGAATGGGCTGTCCAGGGAAGTGGTGAAGTTGTCATCCCTGAAAGTGTTCAAGAAACAACTGGAAGTGGCACTTAGTGCAATTTGGCAAGATAGTATTAAATCTGTATGTGATTGTTAAGTTGCTTAAGCAGCCATTGTTCTTCCCTCTGTTCCATTATAATTTTCATGCATTTTTCCTAAAAAAGTTCTTTTTCTTTTGGTAAGCAAGGAAGTATATAGTTCTTCAGGAAGCTACTGATTTGGTACAGACAGGTATTTAATCTAGAACAATGTCAACAACATTATCTAGCCATATGATTATCTAATACAAAGTATCAATATAAAGATATCTCTTTTGCATAAGTCTCCCAGAAGGGAAAAAAAAAAAAAAAGAAAAGATATTTGATTTATAAATACAGTAATAGAACTTTCCAAGATTTCCTGGAAATTGGTAAGTTGATTCTCTTTTAGCATTCACGACAATTTTATTAATATTATGCACAGAGCAGAATATATCACAGCCTTGAAATAATTATTTGTATAAATATATACAAATTTACCCTTCCAGGACTACTGGATATCACTAACTAGAAAAACACCAAGGTGCAGATATTCTGGTAACATTGCAAATAGTTTTGACAATAGTTTTTTTTCATATGCTTCACATGCATTTGTGTCTTTGCACAGATGAACTATGACTGTATTTGTCTAAATGATCAATTTTTATTTTTTTTTTTCAGATACAGTTGTAGTAGATTCTGTGGGGATTGTTGCTCCTCTGCAGGGAAGTCCATATTTGGTATTTTGTGATATTGGCAGTCTGTATCACCATGCTTTCTCTTACTGCACTAACACATGTGAAAGAAACTGTATCCATGTAAATAGGAGGAGAAGGCATTCCCCAGTGTAATGCCTTTTGCATACTGATTTAGGACTGACATATGAACATAAGAATCTACCAGTCTAGTTCTTCATAATACTATCACTCTTAAGGTGAGTTTGTGTTGTGGTTTAACCTCAGTCAGCCACCAGATATCAGGGAGCCGCTCATTCAGTTTTATCAAAGTTCATTATTCATTAATGCAATGATCAGAGAGAATATCCCCAGAGGTTCATATCCCCAAAATGTTTTTAATAGACACTACAGGAACTCTATCCCCTTCCAAAGTACATAAAAGTTTTGATTTGGCTGGGCCAGCCCAGTTGGTGGATTCTCAGGTGTTGACTAACCATGTGGGATATGCTAAATAAGTATCTCAAAGTTTGAAAGTTTTAACACCCATAGCTCTCAAAAAATTAACTCTACTGTAGCCCAAACCAGCACAGTTTCCCACTGTCATGCGCTGCTTTTAATCTGTATTGCAAATGAGAACATAAAGTAGCTTAAATTGCCAATTATTTTGTTTATTTTTGTTTTCCCTTAAGCACTTTATACCAAGCATGCTCATGAGAATAATTGCTAAGTTACATGTACTTTCTTAGACTTGAAAGACAACTAAGCTGAATGACTCCCTTTATGCAGATAAATTTGAGCTAATGGAACCCCAGCTAAAGGACTCATAATAATAATAATAATAATTAAACCACAATATCTTTCAAAAGAAAAACATCCAACTAACCAGCCAAGCACAAAACCATCAAGAATAAGAAGAAATCCAGTCTAGGGAAATAAATTATATCACTAATGTTTTGTAATAGAAATAGCTCTGCACTCATTCTGTTTCCTGTGTTTACTACCAACTGATTTCTGACTAGTTATCAGTAAAGGTCACACCAATGCAAGCAATTTGTATTCAACATCAAGGGCAGTGCCAGAAACTGCAGCTATGATACCACATCAAAGGACTGACTGTGACATGAACCTATAGAGATAGATCTGCAAAAATTGCCTGGACAATGACTATTCCCTAGTACCACCAAAAGCTGTGTTGACAAACGCTCAGCATGGTATATACAAACCCTCCTGACAAAGAGGAGTCATCCTATCAGGTCGAAATGGTAGACAGGAGGGGTGTCCTTCCTTCCTTCTTTCATTAAAAGTACAAAAGGCAGCAACAATAACCAGCATTTCGATTTCTAGCATCTAATATACAATAAGAACATAATTCTTGATTCAAGGACCTGGTACTTGTTCAAAACAGTGTTCTAGAAAATCATGGTCTCTTTTCCGTGATTCTTGTCCTCACCAGACTCAAGCTATTTATATTTCATTCACAGAACAGCTTCAAAAGAAGAAATAGGTACCAAACCTACCTATCTCAACACTATTCAAGAAGGATAGTGTTCAAGGTAGGGAACTGTTTTGTCCTATAAGAAATGTGGAACAAGTAATTTCAGAAAAAAATTTGAATTTTGGCCTTCTTACATCTGAGGCAATAACTTTGTAACTGTGAGGATATTCAAAGGCTTTCCAGAGTTTTACCTATGCTGTAATGAACCTGGGTAGCTAAATAGAGGCAGTATTACCATTTTCTAGCTCTTTGATAGGCATAAAATCTAATTATGAGTTAGGAATTCTGCTTTCAGTTACAATTTATTGCATGTTGTTTGCAATTTTAGCTATTTCCTTGGTACATAATTATTTTTCTTGGCCTCTAGTAAAATTTCTATTGACATTAAGGAGGTAATTTACCAAACAACATTTCTTAAAGTGTATACCTAAATCAATATAGGTAGGTTATTTCCATTATAAAAACAATAAGTTCATCAACAGTGATCTCTGTATGACCTGAAGGGAAGGAAATTAAGTTCAAAATACTTAAATCAGTATCTGTTGATTCTTCTTATTTATTATTCATGGGATGCTATACACCACTTCGATATTCCTAGCAATAACAAAAAAATGTCAGAGGTTTCCTAAGAGGCCATCTCTTCTTTCTCCCCCTTCCTCCTAAGTGAAAAATCAAGCTTTTATTGCTTGTTGTTCCTTTGTATTGAAGTTTGGCTCATTCAATCTGATAACAGAAACAAAAGCCATGAAAACATAAACCATGAAAAATTGATAGTACCAATCTCAATTGCCTTATAATGCTGAATAAAATAAATGTACATAGATTTATACCAGTGGGAGAATATTTCTGATGATCACCAATGTTAGTACATTGTCAGTATAAAGTAAGATAATTATATGTACAGAACTAAAAGACCACTCTTCCTAGCACTCTTGCACAATCAGAAGCATCTGGTCTGATCTTTTGCCTTAAAAGAACTCAAACATGACTTGTTGGAATAAAAGAAATTAAATCACTGATGTGTAGAAGGACTGGTTACACACCTTAGAAGTCTGTAATTTCCTAAATGAATTGAGTAAAGAAGAGAAAATGACATGCATTAACTCCCTAATGGTCTTTGAATTAACAAAATCTTGGCAAGAGTACTAAAAATGAACCCTAACTTTTAAAAATATATACTATTGATGATCTTCAATCTTTGTAGCTCAAATCTCTCTAGAAAGAAAATCCTTTATCTCAATTTAAATACTGAGAAAAAGGCCACAGGACACTGAAGACAAAAAGTGATAGAATTGTGTGAGATTTAAAATCTAAAATTATTCATGATCTAATATATTATAATAATATTTTTAGTATTTATGTCATATAAATAGATAAACCCAAATTCTATATCAATATTCCTCTGTCTTTGTACTACAGATATTTTTCGTTTAGTTCATTGTTTTCTTGGTTCATTTTACACATGTTTAGTAGTAATTAAATAGAGACTTAAAAATACAGTTACCTCCCCTTTCTCCACCCCTCCCCCACTCTCTAAACAATACATTGAGTTTTGAATAAATAATTCAGGTTACTTATATAAAGCCTCATTTGCTTGCCCAAGGTCTGGCTTATTCTTTAGTGATCAAAGTTAATTTTGGTGTACCCTCAACACTTTCAACTGTGCATTAAGTTTATCAGAAGGCACTGTTCATGGGATGTAACTTTACGACAGCTGTAATACCACTCCATGAAAAGAAGATCTATTCTGACTAACTTCAACATCTGACTTTCTCTTAAATAGTAGGTATCTTGAGTGAGGTTTGTTTGATCTCTGGAATGTCACATCAGGATGTGACTTACATCTCAGTCCAAATGAATACCCTAAATAGATCAGATGAAGCAGCCTCTGGAGAGGGCTATAAAAAAAATTCCATGTTGATAGCTGAGACCACAGATATAGATATCTATGTTTTAGCACTAGCTGTCTTTTAGAGATTGCATGTTTGTTGATAAAACTTTCACTTCTGCTATTTTTTCCTCTTAGTAGTCGCTTAAAATGAGACACTCATTTTAAGTGTTTTCACTCTAAAAGTCTTCAGAAGTACTCATTTTTATAGACCACGTAGGGAAAGCAAGCACTTACTTTCAGAAGATGAATCTATTCTATTTGATATATTTAAGGTGTGTCTCAATAACATAATTTTCCTCTCTGTGAGTGTGTGTTTTTCCCGTGTGCTTGAACAGAAAGTGACTAACACATTCAGTGTTTGATTGTATCTTTAAAAAGATGTAAGATGAAGTAATCGCAACAAAATACAAATATCAATTTTCACTGAGTATGGAAGCCCTACATAATCAGTGTTTTTCATTAGTTTTCAAAAGTCAAATATATTTTTAAGAGTAACTTATAAGATAATAAGTAAAAAAAAGGGGTAATTCCTGTGACTATATTTTATAGCTGTTGTGTTTTTCTTCCCCTAATATCTATGGCCTGTAGAACAACTAGTTATCAGACTATTACTTTTCATTCAGCCAAAGCAGAGCAGGGGGCAGGAGGCAGGAAAGTATATTTTCAGATAAAGAGTTTCAAGAATATTGAAAGATTCTTTGAGTTGTTTTGGGCAGTCATATAAATGTTATTGAAATCAGTTGACATTTTACAGAAAAATCAGTTGTAGGAGAATGGAAGGTAGTGCACATTAAATGCACTGTATGAATTCATATGACAATGGTTACTCTCCACTGATTATCTATAGATCTTCTTTAAAATTTGAATGACTCTCACAAAAGCACAGGCCAAAATATATGCCAAAGTGTGTAGTCGCAGAAGAGTTGTATTTAATTAAGTTCCCGCACTGATTTGGGTTCCTAAATGTGCTTCAAGTTGGTAAATTAGTTTCTAGGCTGTGTTAAAATCTACATAGTAGCTTATTGTTTGCATATGACTGGAGTAGCATGGTCTTGAGATTCCACACTTGGTCTACACCATCCATCCACACTCCTCCTCATATGGAGTTTATTTAGTTTGAAGTGGCACACGAGTCAAGCAGCACAGAAGTTATTAAGAACACTTATCTTGTGATGAAACATGTATAATACAACATATGAAAAAAGATCTGTATTCAAATCTAAAGATTTCAGTGCTGAAAATATCTGCACAATTGCTTGCTAAAACTTTGGTTTAGAAGTGACGACTAAAACATGAACGTTGTAAGTGACTGTGGGAAACTAGGCAGAAGAAATCTGAACTCCTTTTGGCACTTAAATCACATCAGTTTCAATACACTGTGAAAAGGGTTAGGATATTTAGGACTGTTAGTTAGATCAGCTAAACTGAAATCTGTTGTCATGATTCAGCCACTGCAGGTTGTGTGGAGACTCTGAATGATTGTCCAGACCAAGGGGAATAAGGTTTATATCACTTGTAAGCAAAAGCAAACTGCTCAGACAGGGAAGGACTGATCTCACCGCAGATGTAGCAGATGCTTTCTTTTTGAGACTGTTTGCTATCTCTCACCTGTTTTTCAGCTGCTGACAGAAATGGAGTGGAGGGGGATTACTCATGCAAACAGCAAAATTGTCAGGAAAAAACCTGAATACTTCTATGTCAAAGTTAAGGTGAAACTGATAGTCTAACACTTAGTTTCTTTTTTTAAAAGTCTCTGTGTAATTGTTTTAAGAATGTAATTAAGTCACTTTAAACTTAAATGATTGTTAATTTGGATTGCTTTTTCTGAACAGAGGATTGCTTTTGTTAGTCTGAAGTAAACTATCTAATCTATGCTTAGACCCCTAAACCCTTTGGCTCCTAAACCCTATTAGTCTAAAACTCCTCTTTGGCTGTGTTAATGTGTTGAACAAAATTAATTACAGGATTGTACAATAAGAAGTTCTTGTGTGTAGTAGTAGTGCAGTTATTTCCTTTGAGTGGAAAAAAAAGAAGGAATTTTATGAAATATGTTAGTAGTGCTCTCACTTTATGCAGAGAAATGGAAAGAATAGTCATGACTGACCCAAACCTACTTAGATATTAAGCACATAAAAATAAATTCTGCTCTAATATGGATTAATCTTTGAAAAATATAGCTATCTATTTTTTTTACCCTTAATAATTGTAGGTCAGCATTTTATTTTTTTTTAGAAATTAAAAGTAAATATTTTATATTTATATTAGTCACAAGATTGTTAAAGTATATTGGACTTTTTAAAATAATTTTTCTCTTAATTCTACCTAAATTCATCCCTGAAATCTTTGGTTAAACCCAAATATTTACACTGATCTACAGGGACACGCACACAAAAGTAGTGTTTAGACAATAGTGAAAAGAGTTGGCTGGTAAGAGCTGGTAGAAAGCATTTGAAGATATAGTTCTGCTATGTGTGATATAATTATTAAATAATCTCCACAAATAATTATATTAATACATAATTTGATATCTGAAGAGAAATTATTCTATGCATTATTAATGCATATGATGGTATTGTCAGTCATCCTACATTAATTTCAACATTCTGCACTATGATAAATATGTATGTGTGTGTGCATACATGCTATTTTTCAGCATCCAATATTTCTTCTTTCGGTAATATTTAAAAACCACAAACAAAATATTGCATTCAGAATCAGTTAGGCTCAAAACAGTGTGAGTGCTTTCAAAATCTGAGCTTGTTTCTAAACACGGCAAAACAAATCATAGATGAAAACGATGCTTAAATAAAATTTGTTTAGTTCCTAGAGAATGGTACAGAAAAATGTTGTCAAAATTGCTTAGTTGCTTGAAGGTACTTTAGACCCTATACCTGAAGATGGTGAGCATGCATGTATTTACAGCTGCAAATATCTAGATAAGATACAAACAAATGCAAAAGAGATTTAATGTATCCAGTATACTTAGAACAAGTTGCACTTTGCATTTTAAAACTCCATGCTGTGTTATTTCAGTTACTTCACTTAAAATCAAAGGCTTTTGAGTAAATTTTCAAGGAGAACCTTTTCTAAGAGATAAGAAGATCTGAATTTAAAATTTGCAGTTTCATTCTTCATATCCTGGGGGATTACCACAGTTACTAAAACATCAGATATTTTCTTTAGAACTATGTCTTTCATATCTCCTACTCAAAGCAGGCACTGTGCAACTAGAAGTGTCAGAGACACGCACCGGGGTAGAACAAGCTGTACAAGAGCCTATTACACCCAGCATTGCAGCCAGAACAGTGACTTGTTGTATATATAAGGTACAGGTAGACCAAACAAGATTAAATTAATATTTATTTGTCTTACACCTGTACATAAGTAAACCAAATCATCACATTAAGCATTTCATAAGACTGTAACACAAGATATGTCATAGCAGTCTGTAAAATGTTACTGCAAAAGTGAGTTGAAGCATAGGCCCACAAGCAGGATTCAGTAAAATATATCCAAGTAGTAAAATCTGATAAAGAAAAGTAAAGAATGTAGAGTAAGAAAAAAACGGTATTTGGCAAAATGAAAATAAGTACAGATATTAGAAGATCATATTTGATGACCTTAGCAGGTAAGATCACCTCATTTCTGTTGAAGAGAGATCTGTGGAACACAAAACACCAGTGAAGAGAGAGTCAAGATGGGAAAGAAAGAATATTGCTTTGGTTCTGGCTTCCCTTGTCGAAGAGTTCTCAGACACAACCATCTTGATCTCATGGACTGAGAGAGCCAAGGGCTGTGGCTGTCAATTCTGACTATACAGTATCAGCTCCATGTTGCTCCTGTTTTAAGTTCTAACTGTTAAAAACTGTTTTATATACTCAGTAATAATTACTGGTAATGAGTAAGAAATAAGATTGACAATGTTTATTGCTAGTGAATAGCGACGAAATAAATTATTATCCTAAAGTTTAAAACTGTCCTCATCTCTCCATCATTTCCATTCACAGTGATTTCTAATTTCCTAACTGAATATTTGCATACATTATATGTATCTATTATGCAACTATATATGTAAAATATATTCACGTTCGTTGCATATAAACATTGCACATTTGCAGCATATATTCAGTCTGCTGGTCTCTTGTGCTCCCAGCTAATCTTTGAAGGTTATGCATCACTTCCTTCAACTCATCTGACCTATTGGGCTTCTGTTCATTGCACCATGGAGTGCCAGTGCTTTACCAGATTAGTTATTCCTGGATCCTCAGCTGCAGTAACTTTATGTTTTAGCTTAAGTAACAGTTCTGCAGTTAACCAAAGAATTTTACCTGTCATTTAGCATACCTTACATCACCTTTTAACATTGCCACCCTGCATTTCATCTTTCCACGTAGCCAACTAGGTACTGGGAAATCACACTGGTAAAACTAATGATTTTCAAAATCTCTAAATCACTTCACTTCCTGGGATTTTTTTTTTTTTTTTTTAATGCCATTTACTCTCTGGAAAAGTATGTCTCTATTGAAATCTTACCTTTTCTTCTGAAATAAAAACTTGATTTCCACCTGGATATACCTGTGATTTAAGTCTGGTAACTGTATGAACAGCAGAATTATCTAAAAAATGTATAATTGGTTTTCCTTTAGTAGTTTCATTTCTTAAAATACTGTGACTAGTCTCTACCAAGATAAATACCTACCTTTGTATGTTTTTACATAATCTTTGTGCGATGTGATTATAACTTATATGAAAGATGACAGAACTAGTTCAGACATTGTTAAAGACTTCCAGCTAATAATTACCAATCTAAAATTGACACTGTCCTTTAGAAGTTATTTTATTTATATTGAGATTTTTTTGGCACTTCAGGACTCTTAAGGGTAATACAGCAAGTTGCTAGTTAATTGTTTTGATAAAAGAATTGGTCTTATTTTGAAAAATATATTGATAGTTCTCTCTTATCTGGAGAAAATATAGCTGAAATGTACAGTGAAACACACTCTTCTGTTTCTATATCTGAAGGGAAGAGAAGTTTAAAGAAGGAGAACACTTCATTGGGAGGTATCGAGAATGATCAAACAACCTGAATTCATATGTATTACTTGGTCCTGAGAAAAGTTTGAATAGATTGGACTCTGGATTAACTGAAAGCTGAAAAAAGCTTAACATTTAGGAAAGACATTTTCTCTTTTGTTATATTATTTCTGCTGCATTCAGGGAAATGTGATTTTGTATAGTCTTTATAATAGGTAGTATTGCATCAGCAAAAAACCTCATCCCACAGTGAATTCCTTCTAACTGGAACAGGTTAGCTAATTCTTTGAGGAAAAGACAAACAAATAAAAACCCAAGAAAACTAAAAAAATGCTTATCTTAGTTAATAGAAGCATACAAAATTTATTTTTCTGTGTTATTTTTCTTTCCATATAATCAAAATCTCTTTTTTTTCCCCACTGTATTTTCCAATTTGGCTGGTAAAATTAAAAAGAAATTTCACTGTCCTCCTTATACATATTAATAATAAATTGCAAGAGCTAATTCTGGGAAGAACTAATAGTGAAACTTCAGCACTTTTATTACTATAAAAAAGCATTGTCTCTACCATCTTTTACAAAGACTTAAGAAATATAATCTTGTAGAGTACTATATTTTTTCTTATTATCCTTAAAGGGAGTACAGTACTTGTAATCTTATGGTTTCTACAGGATGGCTGTAAGTATATATGTAATATTCATGTGAATTTTACTGAAGTGGAAGAATATATTTGAGTAATCTCATTTTCTCTGCTATATGGTTGTAGGATTACATACATAAAAATTCCATGACTACACTTGGTGATAAGATACATAATATTGAAACTTGCAAGCTTTTCCTTTTAATAAGGTTTGAATTAGATAAAAGATTCAAAGTTTCTAATCAGCTATTTCAATGCAGTCAAAATAATTAAAGAATTTTCAAGATAATTTATTGGTTTTGCACTGTGATAGCTGTTTTATAAAAGTTTTTTAAGTCACATTCCTAATGTCAGTCATTAGCTAGATCGTGGAGAACCAGTTATACAGAGTGTATGAATACAGTAAAAGGTATTAGAACAATACCAATCAGTATAAAAAACCAACTAGGTTCAACATACCATGCACAGAGCAACCAGTAACCAGTCAACAGGAAATGCCAAGAGAGAATTTTTAAATCTGACTTTTCTAGAGGAATCACTTCAGGACTAATTTAACTATTTCGGCACTGTGGTCTCTTCCAACCTTACCCATTCTGTGAATCTGTAATTTTAGGGCACTTAATGAACCACCTAAGTTAAGAACATAACCACCTATTGTTCATTATATTATTGAAGGATAAATATTCTCTAGGGAGAAGTTCAGATTTTAGGTACACTTCTTCTCTCCACTATTAATATAGAAAGTGGAGAAAAAATATATTTTAGTAAATTGCTAATAATCACAGGGAATCAATCTTAAATCCTTATGTTGGTTTTAAAGGAATTCTGAAATGTTGAACAGAATACATCATATATAAATAGATGTTTTACTGTGAAAATCTGGAAAGTAAATATTAACATATGAAGATTTTAAAAGCTAATTTCAAAATTATATATTAAATGTTAGAAAAAGAAACACCATATGGTATCAGGTACAGTTCCACTATCTGCTGATTTAGAGTTGATATTAGCTCTGTTCAGACTGAGGGCACAAGGGTTCTAGTCTTCATTGCAGCCTTCCAGTACTTGAAGTGAGGCTACAAAAAGCTCAAGAGGGACTTTTGACAAGGGCATGTAATGATAAAACAAGGGGTGTGTGTAGAACTGGACATAAGCATGTTTTTTCTCAAACATTCTGACAGATGTGGTTGGAAGAGAGGGTCCTGTGGAGGTGGGGCAGTCTACCCCATACTCAGCACTGAAGTTTGTTGTGGAAGTGGGGTGCTTGTGGATGTGTTTGTGGCTTGTTTGCCAGCGCCTTTTAGTGTTGGTGCATTGTGGCTTGTGAGCCAGCACCTTTGAGGAGTTTATTGTGGCAGCTGAGAACTTGTACTGTACAAAATCTATAGGCTTGCTAGCCTCCACTCTTGTGGAAGGGTGTTATAAGAAATGTAAGTGCTTGTTAGCCAGCACCTTTTCAATCTAAACAGTGGGCTGGTTGCTGGAGTGGGCAATCGTACAATAAAAACACAGGAGTCCCTGCACGTGGTCCAGTGTCTTTGTTCAGCCTGCCACGTATTTACAATGAACATCATGCCCCTTCTGATGGCTTGTGACAGGGTAATGGATTTAAATTGAAAGAGGATAGGTTTATATTTGATATTAGGAAGAAATTTATTACTGTTAGGATGGTGAGGCGCTGGAACATGCTGTCCAGAGAAGTTGTGGATGTACCATCCCTGGAAGCATTGAAAAGTGATCTGTTGAAAAGTGTCCTTGCCCACAGCAGAGGGGTTGAACTAGATGATTTTTAAGGTCCCTTCCAACTCAAACAATTCTGTGATTCTGTTGTTGTAACTCTTGTAAATACTGGTCTGGTGCGGAAGAAAACACTGGAAATATTCTCAGTTGAAAATAAAAAAAATCTAAATGCTTTTCTTTGGTAATACTCTCACTAGGATTATAGTATTCTGCAAGTTTATTTATATTCAGTGCTGAGTCCCTTTAATTTTCTGTCTCTCATCAGTGTATCACATACTGCTAATTTGACTGTATGTTCCAAATGACAAAAGCGTATTTGCTTATGCTTATCCTTTTTTATATATAAAGCTTTCCTGGCAATAATAGATTACCCATTTACTTTTTTGTAAGATTATTTTATAAGTGACTTTTCAGATTTGAAACAACTCAATTTTGAGTTCAAATGTTGCTGTAATGAGAACTTCAGAAAAAACAAGCCACTACTAACAACAAAATTACAGCCAGGCACTACAGTGATATACTCCATTGCAAATAGTTCAGCATTTTCACAGATACAGAGATTGTTCACCCAAATGTAATATTCATTCCCTATAACTTTTTCCCCTTTCTGCCTGCCCGATAGTAGTAAATTAATAAAGATTTCAATCAATGTATTACTGTACATCTTTCAACCAATTTATTTCAAAAAAGTAAAGATTCAAAGTGCAGATCAGGGAGCCATCAAGAACACATTTCATCTAAAACTCATGAGAGGCCCAATTTTTTTTGATTTAGGCTAGAAGTTAAGTTTGCCAGATCATTGCTTATCAAATTATGTTGTCCTTCATCTTTTACACTGTTAAATTTTCTTCTGTAGACCTCATATGTACTCAATCATCAAAAGGAAGAAGAACCATATCTGAGTTAAGTCCCTTTCTCCTATGTAGGAACACAAAGAAATTCAATTACTGATTGGAAGAGATAATTGGAAATACTGGTAAACAGGCCCCATAACTATTCACTAGACTATCTGAAAACATTAATCATCAGACTTTTTTTCCAAATTGATTAGTATATTTAGTAAAACACTGAATCAGAACATGGGATGTGTTTAATAAAATGACAAAACATGCTTTGCATAATAAAAATAAAAAACAGAAAGTAAAAGTCTTGTTTCAATTTCACTAGCATATTGGCAAAGAAATTTCCAGAACCCCAGAGAGAATTTATGTAATTCCAGATATTTTTGCTATTTTTTTAGTAATAAATCACTTTCAGAACATGAAGCAGGTAACCAGGAAGCATTACAGATATAGGTGATCTATTAGGCTGTTGTACTCTAAATTTGCAATATTTTTTTCTTGGTTTTCATTAGTCAGTAGGAGACTGATTACATTTTTTCCCCAGGAAGCGTATTTGTCTTCCTTAATTGAAACATAAGATTTGGACTTTTATCCTTTTAACTTTATTTTGAAGTGGAAACAATCAAGAGTCTTTGTTCTTGTAGGAACTGATAATGACCCCCAACATGTAGCAAAATAACACCTTTCA